GATAATGAATATGACCAAGTTCATAACATAGTCTATCTTGATTGGTTTGTACGTGAAGTTTTACGAATGTTTCCTGTTTCACCAAAAGCCATTTCAAGAGAATGTAATGAGACTACTATTGTTTGTGGTCATACTATAGATAAAGGTTAGATCTACATTAAAAATATATATCTTGTTAATATTTTCGTACTTTATTTAAAGGTAGTGTTATTCAACCAGATGTGTTGACTATTCATTACGATCCTGATTTATGGGGTCCAGAAGATCCAAAAATATTCTTACCAGAAAGGCATTCAATAGCGAGACACCCAGCAGCTTTTATGCCTTTTGGTCTGGGTCCACGCCATTGCATTGGGAAACGATTTGCTTTGATGGAAATCAAAATGTGTCTGACACGTCTACTTCGACACTATTCTATTTATCCAGGAGATCAAATGGAAGAAAAATTCAAACTTAAAGACACGTTTTTTGTTCTTCAACCGGAATATGTTTATGTAAAAATTGAAAAACGTTCATCGTAAATAATCTAAACAAAACAGTCGACTTCTTTAAGAATCATTAATTGTTTTTGTTATCATTCAATAAAACTTGTTATGATCAAGATGACTGTTTGATGACGAAGAATAGAAGGTGTGATTAGAGAATGTGGGTTTAAATATTCTCTATACTTATGCTTATCTATACAATTAATAGCTGAAATATTTTATTTAAATAATGAAAACTTGAAGAAAACTTTCTCTCTATGTGCACTGATAGTAAAAACAATGCTCTTTCTTCTATGATAACTGATGGTTATACTAATACCTATTAAAGACAAGGCGACTTGATATTTTTTGAAAAACTTTGATAGAACTAACGTAAGATAAACAACTATGGTTTTCATCGTTTGAAAGAAGAGACAAAAATGCATTAAATCATTTATTATAGGTTTTTGTAATAAAATCTCTGAAGTTTGTTTCATCAATTTTCTAAATACCAAAACCATTGACTTTTTTTTCAAAGACCTTGCTACAACAACCAACAAGAATGTTGATTAAAATATCTATAACTCCTGAATGATTAATTTAATATATGTAAATCTCGTATAGTTGTATAGATCTTCAATTGACAGCTTGAATAAACGTCTAAAAAGTGAAAGTTCACTGGGAATACTTCCTTAGCTGTATTTTTTTCAAAGAGATAGATTGAAAACTTTAAACAATCAGTTAGAACTAGTTTGTAATTTTTGATTCGATTCATCTTCATTTCTGCTTTTGAATGATGTAAATCAGAGATCTTTATCTTGTTTCTTTGAAGACTTATTCAAAAAATATTTATTCAACCTTGTGTTTTTCTAAAAACGCATGAGTATAACCGTTACACGTTGTAGAAAAACAGATCGTATCAACATTTAATTATTATGATATTAATTGAAGAATGATCAAATTTCATATTTAAAAAAACACTGTTTTTACGATCCCTTTATATAAAGAGAAAGCTTTTCCAGTTTTCTATATGTAAATGAGACACCATTGTTGTCTGAAGGACTGTAACGATAGCAGTATCATAAAGAACATGAAAAGTGGTAGGATAAAACTCTTGAAACCAGTGAGTGCGCCCGACTATTCATGCTTCAATCGATTTCTCATTGATCTTTCTTTATTGGTTGAGACTTCTGTAAAAAGATCGTCCTACTTTGATAAAAGGTTTTCATTGATTCGGGCGGTACTCAGAATAGCAGCGTCTTAAAGTTTTTTATTTTGCACTCCTCAACATCTTCCTTTTCATTGTCGTACTGTATAGAAGTTTCTTCTCCATTAGTTAGATGCCAATATTAACGAATCGAACGAGAACTCTGACAACATGTTGATAC